TCTTTGAAAGCGAATAATGAAGTAAAACCTACTGGTAAAATAGCACTAAAAATTCTATCACTGTTTTGATCTAATTTTTTATATAAATCAAGTTCTTTTACCAATTCACTAGGATCTCTATTTATTCGTTTGAGGATATAATTTGATAACTCAGATTTCTCATCTTTATCGGATAAAAATGATTTGATCTTAGTTCTTAATTGATCAATATGTGGATTAGTATTAAGATTTACTGAAGTAAACAGAGATAATGCGCTCATAGTTAATATCTCTTTCGAGGGGATATCTTGGGAGTCTAGATGTTCGTTTAACCATGCTAGATATTTCTCTAAAGATACCGCCTCAATTACGATTGGCATAACAGTTATATTATCGATAGAGCATTTAACTCTATCTTCCTTATCTCACGATAAGGCTTAGACTATGTCTTCAACCTCCTTTTTATTTTGATGGATTTGGTTGTAGGGCACTCGTGTCCGGATTATTGTTGATGTAACTCACCGATTAGTCGTTGAACGTTCTTGATTCATTCAATGTGTTATACACTGATACATCGAATCAAGCTTCGCTGCAAATTGAGTTTATCTCGTAAACTTGTCCTTGCAATTCACCCTATTTGCATTAAGATATTACTACCTTAAGGGGCTTAAATTTTACCCATGGTTTACTCCACATAACTCTGAACATTGTCCATAGAATAAACCTTCTCTGTTAATAAATGTTGATGTTTGATTTAACCGACCTGGTAGCTATGGCAGAGGCCTCGAAACCAGGGTTCTTTGGGAGTTAATTGTTGATGTTAAAATATAGCATCTATTATTATATACGCTAAACTAAAGCATCGAATTATAATCAACAGTAGCATCAGGTTTTAATTGGATTGATGAATCATTCCAAATCTCTAGCACTTGATGTTTTAACTCTGGCGTCCATTTAGTAGTTTTTCTTGAACCTCTTTGACTTAAAATTAAGTCTCGGATTCTAATAAGTTTTACTAATGTTATAGCCTTAATACCGTAGATAGGATGTTCTACAAAAAAAGGTAAAAGAATGTTATAGATAGTATTCTCAGTTCCATTGTTTAATGAGATTGTTTTCTCATTATTCTTTGAAATTACGAAATTATCGAGGTTAAAATAATCCTTCATTGATTGTAATAATAAGTAATTGTCTTGGTGTTGTGTTAATCCAATTCGCATTCGACCAAAACTTGGAGAATCTATTTTAGTTATTATAGATAAATAACCATCACCTGCAAGAAAGCCGCTTATATAATTAGGATCTAAAGAAATACGAGTTAAATCAGAAGAATTATAATGTGGTAAAATAGAACTTTTTATTAATTGCCCTGTATTAGATTTATCTTTAATTAATCTAATTTTATTGAGACCTTCAAGAGTTAAATGCCCTTTATTCTTGATAATTTCTAAGCCTTCTAACCAGTTTAAATAATCTAAATACTTAGTACCTAGTAATGAGTATTTATTAAAGAAAGGAACTATTATATTTAATATAGTCTTTTGATCAGATACTGTATATTCTAAACAATCCTTAAGGTCTATTTTGCTAATATTACCACAATTGAAGTATTCTTTTATCATATGTAATAATACAATATCTCGCACATGTGCAGTAATTCTAAATCGAGGTTTAACACTAAATCCTGTGTTTATACTTTTAGAAGTAGTAATAGCAAAATCAAAACAACCCTCAGCGTCAGTAAAACCTGTTATAAACCAAGGAGAAATATTAATTGGGACTTGAGGTTTCTCCAATTTTATAGGTTCTTTACGATCTTTAGAATAGTGAACCATAATAGATGAGACACCTAGAGCAGCTAGTTCATTGTTAAAGTTATGGGAGTCTAAATGTTCGTTTAACCATGCTAAGTATTTCTCTAAAGACACGGCTTCAACTACGATTGGCATAACAGTATTATTATTGATAAAGCATTTAACTCTATCTTCCCAATGTCACCACTGGGCTTAGACTATGTCTTCAACCTCCTCTTTTGTTTTTGATAGATTTGGTTGTTGGGCGCTCGTGTCCGGATTATTGTTGGTATAACTCACCGATTAGTCGTTGAACGTTCTTACTCCATTAAATATACCGAAGTAAGCTTCGCTGCAAATTGAGTTTAACTTTATTTAAACTTGTCCTTGCAATTCACCCAATTTGCATTAAAATATTACTACTTTAAGGGGCTTAAATTTTACCCATGGTTTACACCACATAATTCTGAACATTGACCGTAGAACAATCCTTCTCTGTTAATGAAAGTAGAAGTTTGGTTTAATCTTCCAGGAAGGGCATCTAATTTAAGTCCTAATGCTGGAACAGCAAAAGAATGGATTACATCAGAAGCAGTTATGATAAATCTTACATGAGTATCTACTGGTAATATTACTCTGTTATCAACTTCTAATAATCTGAATTGACCTTTTTCTAAATCAGCTTCAGGAACCATAAAGCTATCGAATGCTATTGGTTCTCCAGAATCTGAAATATAATCAGAATATTCGTAACTCCAGAACCATTGAGAACCTACTGCTTTAACTGTAATAGCAGGATCAATAACTTCATCCATTAAGTATAATAATCTGAAACTAGGGAAAGCAATAGCTACTAATACTAAAGCTGGAGTAATTGTCCAAATTAATTCTATTACTGTACCATGAGTAAAGTATTTGTATGGTATAGGATTTTTAGCTGAATTATATTTGATAATAATTGTACTTAGCATCCAAGCTACTAAAATAACAATCATTATTAAATAGAACATGATTTGATCATGAAGATCTACAATTCCTTCGAAAGAAGGTGAAGCTCCATCTTGGAAAGAAAATTGCCAAGGTTCTGTTACATCACAATTTACTGTAGGTAAAATATTAAAAATATATTTAATCATTATATTATATAAAAAAATAATTCGTACATAAGGTATATATTATATGTACAAATGATTAAACCAATGTATTGTGGCCATACTTATATGAACATTAAAATATTATTTTAATTTAATTAGACCAAGCCTACAATATTTTAGTGTAAGACTTTGTACCAGATAATTTTATATTTAAATAGGTTAGTGTATGACTTGAACATACTTAATTAGTTTTGCAGACCAATACATTACCAGTTATGTTAACTAACCTTGAACTTTACTTTATTATAAAAATAATAAGCTTTTACTTTATATAACAAGCCTTAGATATTTATTATTTTGAACCAAAGGCTTTGCTGCTAAAAAGTAATTCTTATTAACGTGGCGTTAATAAATAACTTCTACCCCAAGAAGTATTTATAACTAAATGATTAAGTGTGCTGCGCAATATGGGAGTTCTTATATTAATAGGTTTTAATAATTAATTATTTGGTGAATTAATAGGAGTACTAGAAATCCAAACTTTAACTGTTATTGCTCCATTTTTCCCTTTAAATTCAAATTTATTAGCATCAATCACACTATTATAAGAACTTAATCTTAAAGTACCATACGATTTTCTTACTATTCTTGTTCTACTAGCAGCTTTTCGTTGAGATAATCTACCACTAATTTGGATTTTTAAACCTGATAGATAATAAGGTTGAGTATAATTAGAAGAATATTTTATGAAATCGCTAAATTTATAATTTTCAGGCGCTCCTGTATTATTTTTAACTAATCTTGCTTTTTTAAATAAATTACGCGATATCATATTAAATTTACCTCTTTTTATATTTAAAGCAATATATTGAGCTAAAATGTAAGAATTTAAATAAGGATAATGAATTCTTACTGGTCTTAACTCTACCGGTCTTCCATATAATTTAGATAATTTTAATACTAATTTAGAATATCCTTTAGCTTCAATAGGTGAAATATTTCTATCATTAGTTTTATTTCTTGAAGATAAATTAGATTGTCTTAATACTGGTAAATTTAAAAAATAATAAAATGTTATTACAATTTTATTAGAATTTTTATAAATTTTAGGTTTTGAAATTAAAGCAAATTGAAAATAATGTTTTATAATATTTAAAGTAATTTTATCCATACCCCAATAATTATAAGCTCTATTTTTAGAGTTAAAATAATACGAAATATCGTTCCAATTTTGTTTTGTTTTTAATCTTAAACTTATAGGATGTTTACTACCCATTTTATATTTTTATTTAGGCCCATAGCCTATATGCTCTTTAATCCTAATTTTGTCCATAATTATACCTTAATCTAGATCTACTTTCTTGAGACTAGTTTCATTTAATTACTTTTAAAAAAAATTCTTTGAATTTAAAATAATTAAGTAAGAGCTAACAGAAGCTCTAGGACATATTTTGAATCCCTATCAATGAAATAAAGTTAATAGAGATGATTATCCTTGATGGTATTAGTGTCAGATATAGGATTTGATCCTATATTTTTATTAATCATTTGTTATAAGATTATATTAAATTTTGATTAATATGACATATATTTATTAAAAAATTAACATAATTGTCATCGACGTGGAGATTTATAAATTAGATAAAGTCTAATAATTGATCTAAAACAGATACAACAATAGAGGTGTTTAGATTAAATAATAATAATTTAATATGATATATTGTGTCCTTTATTATAAATTATTATTTCTTAGTTCTTGATAAGATCTATTTACCTTAAAATTATTTCAAAGGGCCATCCCTAGATGGGCCGAGCCACCACTTTTGAAATAGCCTCTTAGGGAAAATAATAACTTTACTGCTTAAATTATATTAAGCTGTTTCTATATAAAACTAAATTTATAAAAAAAAAATAATTGAATAGTATTAGAATACGCTGCCCAAATCCGTAGGAAAGGGGGGGGTTAAATTCCTTAGAATTTTTAATTAAGAAATCTTATTAATAATTAAAGTTAAGTCAGATTAATTTAACTGGTAAAATACATGATTTGTAATATTAATAACTAATTTGATTCTAACATATGGTCAAATGTAAGATTTGAATTTTTATTAAAGTCAGATTTATTTTTAATAAAGTCAGATTAATTTAATTGGTAAAATGATTGATTTGTAATCATTTCTTGTCTGTTCGAGTCAGACATCTGGCAGTAAATATCATAATAACCATAAAGGTCATTGTCCTAGTTTTTTCAGAATATATAATTAGATTAGACTTATAAATATTTTTAAAGTAATTAAATAAAGTTAAGCCCGCAGAACGGTCGAGGGTTCCTCCCATGAACCGAGACCTTTAATCTAGGATTGGATATTATATGGACAAAATTAGGATTAAAGAGCGTAGGGGCTATAGGCCTAAATAAAAATATAAAATGAATAGTAAAAATTTTTTAAATAACAATGGGTCATCATTTATACCAGTTATTGTGTATAATAATGCTGATATTGACAAATTTAGAATTTTAACTGACAATAAATCAAAAGCTGGAATTTATTTATGGACTCATATAGAATCTGGTAAAGTTTATATTGGTTCTGCTGTGGATTTATCTAAACGATTCACTCAATATTTTTCTATAAAATATTTAGAAAAAAATAAAAATATGCGTATCTGTAATGCTTTAGCTTATCATGGATATTCAGCTTTTTCAGTTACTATTTGTGAACACATAGATGTTTCAAATCTATCAAAAAAAGAAGCATATAAATTAATTCTTGAAAGAGAACAATTTTATCTAGATAATATGAAACCTGAATATAATATAAATCTTATAGCTGGAAGTCGATTAGGAACACAGCATAGTGAGGAGTCAATTACTAAAATGAGCGAAATTCAAAGAAACATTGATAGAACTGATATAAATAATCCTATGTATGGTAAAACAGGGGATTCCCATCCAAGGTATGGAAAATCTCACACAATAATCTCTAAAACTAAAATTAGTGAAGCTAAAGGAACAACTATTTATGTATATGATTGTGAAGGTTCACTAGTAAATAGTTTTAGTTCAGCGAATAAAGCAGCTGAATATTTTAATTGCTCTCATACAACTATTATTAGAAATGCAAAAAATACTAAGTTATTCCAAAGTAAATGGTATTTATCGTTATCTAAAAATTTAGTGATAAACACTAATAAGGACTCTTCAGATAATAATAAACGACTTTAAACTCCCAAATAATAATTGTTATAATTTTTATTATAATAATCTTTAATCAAACCTGGAGGGGGCAGAGGATCATCGAAATGTTTGTTCGACTCAGACATCTGGCAATAAATATCATTACACTTAACCATAGAAACTTAAATCTTATTAGGAAGGCCCAAATATAATAAAGCTTATTTTAGTCAAGTATATGAGCTAGTCTTTGATCTTCTTTGGGGCCTGTATGGCTTCTTCGTTTAAGAAATAAATGACTCAAATAATAATAGGTATTAATATACTATTATCAATTCCCGCATAGACGAAGTAGAGAGGGCTCCGGCACTACGGCCGGAGGCTAATAACTTAAAAAAGCAAAGCCCTACATTTCATTGATGGGCGAGCCCTTTAGATTTCTCTTTTTAACTCCCAGATATTAATTATTAATTATAGGCTCTATGGTCAAATGGTAAGACATTACTCCTTCACAGTAAAGTTACCGGTTCAATTCCGGTTGGAGTCATATTTTAATATTACTCCTTCACAGTTGAATTATCGGTTCAATTCCAGTTGAAGTTAAAATAAATGCCTTATGAGGCTACCTGTTGATCAATATAGCAAAGCCTTATTGGAAGAGTCTTAGTCGAACAAACATTTCGATGAAAATCATGTATTTTACCAGTTAAATTAATTTATGCACTGCGATCCCTCTCCTTACTTACCAAAGCAGAGCTTCCCGCTAGCGTATGTAATAATATATTGGATTTTTACTCGGCCCTCTAGGACTTTAAACTTTGTTACGTTTATCGGGAAATATAGCAAAGCTTATACCTGCAATACATTGAGACTTATAAGAAGCTCCTCTTGTGGCTATACATTGAGCCTAAATATTATTATTAAACCAAATAACTAACTTAGTCCGTTGTAGACTCGAAAACACTACGCAAATATAGCGATATTTATGTTTTTATCATAAAGAGCCCAAGAAGACTTTGTTCCTTCTTATTTAACGGATAAGCCAACACTTCGATATATTATGATATCTATGTTTAAACATATATTATTAAGGGAATGTAACTTAATTGGCTAAAGTCGCAAGCTTTTATCTTGTCTTATCAGAGTTCGAGTCTCTGCATTCTCATTATATTTAGGCCAACAGAGCTTATTAACTATATTTTTATAAATAAATCTTAAACCCGGCCTGGGTCTCCAAAGAAGAACCAAAATATTTGTAACCCAGCATAGAAAAATTAACCTAAACCCAAATAAGAGGACTTTACGGCAAGTATTTAATAATTTTCTTTCTCAGGAGAAAAGCTAGCTAGGATTTACAATCCAGGATTCTCTTATCTGTTAATAAAACGCTCCAGTTCTAAGAACTTAGAGGCGTAATCATTAAGGTTAAGGATAAGAATGGTCTGAGAACCCCATGTTTTCTAAACACACAATTTGTTTTATTGCAAAGGTTTACTTAGGTAAATAATAAAAGCAATTAAATTATTTCTTAGAACATGTCTGGGCCATTACAAATGAAATAGTAGCCGGTTAGGGCTTTGCCTTTTTATGTTATGGACTCTTGGTTTTGCCAGAGATCCTTAAGACCTTAAATTAAGTCCCAAGGCTTTATCTAGCATAGAGGACCTAATAGAATCTATACGATTTATCAAAGTAAACTATTCGGGCTAAGAGACGAGATAATAGGAGGTGTAACTCTAAGAACTAAATTTAAGGCTAGGATTTATAAAATTTAGGCCCCCTCCCAAGAGGAAATATATTGGTTTTTAAACAATCCTTTTGGTGGTGCTTATGAAAGCTGTAATCGCGGCTTAAAAGGTTATTGATTAAAGCTTTATGGTTTAATCAATTCACCAATACCCATTAAAAAAGTTTTAAACAAAGAATGAATAATATATTATTAGATTTATTAACATTTACTTCTGTGTTATCAGCTATATTGGTAATTACAGCTCGATCACCAGTAATAGCTATTTTATTCTTAATAGCAGTATTTATTAATACTGCTGGTTACCTAATTTTATTAGGTATTAACTTTATAGCATTATCTTATATAATGCTTTATATAGGAGCTATCGCTATATTATTCTTATTCGTAATCATGATGTTAAATATAAGATTAGTAGAATTAGATCAAATCGGGAATGAATATAGTAAAAACATACCATTAGGTATTATAATTGCAACTTTATTAGGTTACGAAATCTTATCAAATACTTTAACTCAATCAACTGATAGAGTTTATTTAATAACGGAATTATTTGATAAACTTAATTTCTGGACAGCAGGTATTAGTTCTTCAAGTAACTATCTTAATGTTGCATTCAGTCAAGCATATTCTAATATATTTGTTAACTACGAACAAATAGAAACATTAGGATCAATTTTCTATACAAATTACTCATTGTATTTAATCTTATGTTCATTTGTATTATTATTAGCAATGATTGGACCAATTATCATTACATTGGATAAAAAAACATCTAACTCCCACAACGCTAAAATATAATAATTGAAAAAGGTCTTGTGGTCTACTTTGTTTGTAAAGAATCCAAAGGCAAAGCAGGGTTTCCCATTAGCACATGAAGCCATATATTAGACTTCTGTTTGCTTTTACTTTTACCCTGTGAGACCGAGGCTTTGCTTTACTTTGTATGTATAGCTGGTCTAATTTCAGGAATGCCAATTATTAGATTACAATCTCGAGAATATTATACATTTATAAAAAAATATAGAACTTAGTAATATTATTTTAGATTAATAATTAACTGATTAATTAATGCCGATTTCTCTACTTATAAAATAGAGACACTTAGATAGCAAGGAATCTAAAACTAAAATTTATTGCCCGGGCACTACCCAGAATATCACAGGTACTCCTTGCTGGGTAAGTTAGAGATGAGTACTGCCTGTTAAAATCCTAAGAGACTTCATCTATTTTACCCATAAGGAGAAGGCAAAGACCTTTGTAAAGTCCAATATTTAAACCAGTCTCTTTATAAGGGTTTATAGTTAGGCCCTATAGCAGGTAAAAAAAAAAAGGGGGGGGGAGAGAGAAGTCCCGCTACCGTATATAGTCATATGTTGGATTTTTCAAAAGCTCGCTTTAAATTCAAAAGCAAGCCTTTGATTAATGTAAATAACGAAGCTTCATAAGAGGCTTTGTTTCGTTCTAACAATAAGGGGGATTAAAGAGCAGCTCTCTAATAGAGAACCACCGCGTTCATTTGCAAAAAATTCGAAGAAGGGAGAGGATCAAGAACTATCAACGAAATATTGGGTTTTGTTTAGCTGTTTGAATATTGATTATATATGTGTGTACATTACATATGTATTTGGGCCGGGGCTTTGCTTTAATTAATCGAGATGAGAATGATAGATTCTATATTAATTATAAAAAAAAATTAATTATACCGATAGCTTAATGGTAAAGTGAAAGTTAATACCTTTTATGGATGTTCAATTCATCCTCGGCATAATTATGACTACCCTCCCTAGTGGAGTAGTCAATTAAGTGTGAAATTACCATATTGATTTTAGCTCACAGGGTTAAATTCAAGGATTCGTATAAATCCTTAGGGCAGGTTTGTCCTTTGAGCTTTACGAGTTTTATGGGGAAATTATTATTTTATGTATGAATAGAACTATTCAATCTCATCCTTTCCATTTAGTAGAACCTTCTCCATGGCCATTAACATCTTCAATAGCATTATTAACTACTACTCTTTCAGGTGTTATGTATTTTAATAACTATGCTAATGGAGGTTTATTATTAACATTAGGTTTAATTGCTACTGTAGTATCTATGGCATTATGGTTTAGAGATATTATTATAGAAGGTACATTCCAAGGATCACATACTAGTAAAGTACAACAAGGATTAACATTAGGATTTATTTTATTTGTAATATCTGAAGTGTTCTTCTTCATTTCTCTTTTCTGGGCTTTCTTCCATTCAGCTTTAAGCCCTACTGTAGAATTAGGATGTACTT